GGGATAAAAATCGAAAAAGGTGGACATGAGCATGTAACATTGAAAAATCGTCTCAAAAATCTTTACTCGGGGGTTTTTGGGGTCGCTGAATTCGAATCTGACATTTTTTTTTGAAAAACAAAATGGCGGATCCAATATGGCGGATGAAAAAATTAAAAATTGATCCGAATTGCTTGAAACTCGTTACTCGGGGGTTTTTGGGGCGCTGAATTCAAATGTGACAATATTTTTCTAGAAAATAAAATTGCTGCTGCAGTATAGCGATCTAAATTTGAAATTTTGTTCAAGGAAAGGTTTTATGAAAAAGAAATACAAGTTGGAAGTGACACATCAATATTTTTTATTCCTACTTAATATATATATCATTATTATATATTATTATAATAAAATTGATATATCAATCGCTGTCAACTTCAAAATCGCTTTCATGTGTAACATCTGAAATTTCTACTTCGCTTTCTGTATCTGAATCATTTATGATCATTTGCCGTGCTTCATATAACAGTGATTTCTTTTGTTTTTTTGGAATTTTTCGAACGCTTGATACAAAGGGATCGGAGCTAAGCAATAGTCGATGAAATACATCGGTCATTGTCGCTTTGCGGCTATGTTTTCTCGAAAAATCTCGACGATATTTTTTTATTAACTTATTACTAGCTTCCTGCGCTTCCTCAGACATTTGGCCAATTGGCAACAAAGCCGAAGCTATTATTAAAGGACCATGTATCAATAGTTTATGGATAGTTGTTGGCATCGGATACCATGGATACAAATCCACAAACAGCTCAGCTGTTTCAAAGGCGAACTTCTCGTATTTACTAATATCGATGTCATAGTTTGATGAGATCAATTGTAGAATTATATGAAATCTCCTGATCAAACTAACATCTATATTAGTAATTTCAGAGGAAGTTGCAGCCTCTTGAAAAAAGCGACGAGCAGTGTTGCCGTCGTTTGAACTGCCCCCTTGCTTCGGTTGGTCAACAATTAGGCCTAATTTTTCCTTGAAGGCTTTCTGTGTATCAGCCTTTCTTTTCTCAACAATTTTTTTAACGTTCGCACCCCTCGCTTGCCATTTTTTGATATCTAGTTTGTATGACAAATGTAAGCAACACTCGAAACATCGGATCCAAGCATGTAACGAAGATATGCCAAATTCTAAATTTGTCTCATTTATATCAAGTCCAACCATCATATTAATATCATTGAAGTCTTTGGAGGTTGCGTTACACAAATAACAACGTTGTGCTGAGTCAGTTTCCGACAGTGCGTTGCAAACTTTACCGTCCACCATTGTCAGTGATAAACTGTAACGCACCTTAATATTCTTCCCGCGAAAATATTCGTTAAACGGAACAAGATTTTCCACTTGGTCTTCGACATATTTCACTTCGTTTCTGGTTGTTTCCGGTGTTTCTTTTAAATACTCTACTTTAATTGGTCTGCAAAACCGTGAGGAAGAAGGTCGGGGATTTTGCCATATGATCATTTCTGTACCATCCTCTGCAATGTGCAACAATCGCAAAGGTACTAGTGATGTAAAAAATATACTACTATCTGTTACTGCATCGTCATTACTGGAAAACTTTTGCTTATAGACACTTTGCCCCGACGTTCCGTCACAGCCCCACTTGCAGATTAAATTCAAGTTTAACAAAACATCGTCTTTCAAGTTTAAAATGTCATTTGTTCGCAGATTTAAAATACGCTTAACAGTATGATTCAGTAAGGATTGAAGACTTATAGAACCACATGTTTCAGTGATTGTGATTGATTCTTTGTCAGGGTAACACATTTTCTTTGCTTCTGCGACGATGACATAAGAAGGATAAGCTTTCGAATTGACCATTGTACAACCTGACCTTACAACTAAATACTGCCGCTTGGAAAAATTCGCTTCAATGAAAACAGACAATGCTTCTTCAGGCGTCAATGTTCTCTCTTTGACCTGGCCTTCCGACGATCTGTACGATGATGCTTTAGATGGACTCCCCTCCGAGACCCTTTTAACCACGTGCGCTGCGTCAACTTGTCCTGCTGATCGAAGGCTCATCTGAGTTGCGAATGCGAGTTCCTCAGCACCGTACTCTTGTCGCAGTTGTTGGGTTCTTCTACGTTTTGATCTGTCACTGCATTCCGCGAAGCTTTTCGAATGTCTTTTTTCAGTATTTGTTTCACCGGATGCTTTTTGATCATTGAACACAATGGAACCATTTAACCATTCCTGATTTTTTGCTCTAAATCTGCTCTCTGTTCTCGCCGATTCTTTCCATAAAGTGCGAAATCGATACAACAAATAGGACACACTTTTCTTCTCTTCTTCCGATAAATAATATTTCCGATTCGCTTTTTTGGAAACGTAGTTTTCCACTACTTCAAGAGTTTTTGTTAGTTCGTTGTTCAATAAGTCTTTCAGAATGATGAATAGTTCACTTCTCTGAATGGATATCTTCTCGTTAGACCTCATTTCTGAAAAAAAATCAATATTACATTACTCATTATAGAAATAATTAAAAAATTATCCATTTTTGCCATATATTGATTTTTAAAAAATTAATTATATATTCTTGAAATTTTATTATTTAGGTTATACACTCAATTCACTTTTTTAATCGATAGTCTGATTCGTAAATAGCGACCCCGAAAACCCCCCAGTAATGATTTGGTAAATATTTATCAATTTTTTAAAATGTTTGGCCGCCATATTGGATCCGCCATTTTGTTTTTCAAAATAAAATTGTCAGATTCGAATTCAGCGACCCCGAAAACCTAAAAATCAGATATATCTTCTTGATTAACAACATACATAAAGATTTATCGACATTTCAAAATTTTTTCCGCCATATTGAATCCCCCATTTCGTTTTTGAAAAAAATATCATCAGATTCGTAATCAGCGACCTCAAAAACCCCCAAGTAACCATTTTCAGCAACATTCATTAAAATGGAATCAATTTTTTAGTCATTTACATGTTCTTTATATTTTGCATATTTATGCATGTTTATAAACCAAGTAATGTAAACAGCGGGGTTGCAGGTTGTTGCAGCTAATTCCTTCGCGAATTCAAAGTTCAGGGGTTATTAAACAATTTCCCGTGTCATCCATTGATCGAGTGAAGTCGAGTGGTAAACTTTTTCATCAATGTTTACTAAATTTTTTGCATATAAATGACAAAAACATAGGTTCACTTAATTATTTATAAATATTTACTGGTTAGTAATTAAGAAATTATAATTTTTCGTTAAATTCTACATACCTTGCTGAGAAGAATCCATATAGCGACTTTTCAATATCTACTTTTATCGAGAAATGCACACACTTTCACTTTTCGGTCGGAACTGCACATGTTTTCGTTCTCGACGCGTCTCCTCCAACGGTCAACTTTCGAATGGCCCTATGCAATGCTGTGCGGCATGTAGTGCTTGAAAACCGGTTTTCTTTGTACTTTGGGGTTCCTAGAAACGGTCGGGACACATTGCAGCGTTAAACTAGAACCTTCGATTTTCGGCAAATGGCCAGCTTTTTACGATTTCATCCCACTGTGCAACTGTTTAACATTTTTTTTAACAGTTTTTATTTTCTCCGTTGTAACTTCTCATCCACGCTTCCACGGAGCGAGTTAAAAACTCCACGACATTCAATTCGCGGTAATGACGTTTCAGTTCTATCAACTGACATTGCGCGGCTTTATTATCGTTTATAGCTTTTGCGATTCCTGCCGCGCCGCTGATCAACGAGCCGAAGACTCCCAACAGCGTAGAATAGGTAAGATACCACCGCGTTTTACCACCAGTAGTATTCGTTTTTTCATCGGCTTTTTCTTTTTCGTTTTCAAGCCCATACCAATTTTTGTTTTGGCTTTCATAGCTGCCCAAACAGCTGTGGCAGCGGCTCTCTCTCCAAGAGTCGAATCTTTCGCGGTAATCCGTTTCCGCGCCTCTTCAGCGAGTATTTTGTCAGCTACGTATCGTTTCGTGAGATGTTTGCTGTTTGAATAAGCTATGTTCGTGACACGCTGCGTTCAACGAATTAATGCCTCGATCGCCTCTAGCCAATTGCTTTTCTAAATGCGTACCTGGACTACAAAATTGATCCAGGGATGTGCAACTCGATCGGAAGTGCATTTATCGCGTGATTTAAAAAATCGCAGCCTTTTGTTGTTGTTGTTATTGACATTTCTTACAATTTCTTATAAACGGCGCTGGACCATATGCAATCGATGCAGGGCAAATTATAATGTTTCAAACACCGACGATGTTGAATTTTTGAATCAGCCTTTACATGCTTGGATAATCTATCCCACAGTTGATCTATGAAATTCTTAAACTTTCGCAAAATAATTTTCGGTATATATTTCAACTTTTTGGTACTTAAACTATGTACATCACAATTGTCCGACACGATAAGAAGCATTTTAAATACTAAGCGGTTTCGCTTTGCGCGCTACTATAAATACATCCACTCTCGATGTCGTTTTTCAGTATTATTAATGTCGTGAAGGAATAAGATATGAAATTCGTGCGACAATCGCAGACGATCAAAGTGACTAATGTTGATAACAAAGTACAGACTGAAAAAGAAATACGCAAGCATGAAAACATGCTACTGATTTCTATATGCGGAATCATCTGCGGTCTGTCGAACGCCGGCAAAATAAACGGTCCACATGGCATACGTTTCGAGAACGTGTACTCGAAGTCGTTGCAACAGCCAAAATACCAATACTTAGAGAATTTATTAGCATCGATTAAAGAAATGGTTATTTTACATTTTCTAATAATAACGATGTAGCACCACGGAACAAGACGCTTCCAAATTCTATTCTTGTCTTCGATGACGTCCCATGCGCCGATATATACGATTCAACAAGGTTACCACTACATTCTCATTGTTATCGATATGTTGAGTAAATACGCATAGGCCATACCGCTGAAAATCAAGAAAGGAAATGAGATGACTATAGCCATCACAAAGATAATTCGAGATGATGGAAGATGTTAGAAAAATTTGCAAACCGATATAGGAAAAGAATTTTACAACACAAATGTGCAAAAATTCTTGAAAAAACAGAATATAAATCATTATTCAACATATTCTATAATGAAAGCATCTGTCATTGAACGATTCAATCGTACATTGAAAAATAATATGTGGAAACAATTTACAATGAAAATTATGAATGAATTGACCTGCTTCCATGTATTGTGTCTTAGTAAACTGAGCGAAAGCATCGAACTATTGGTATGCGGCCCATCGGTGTGACTCCCACGATTGCTGACAAACTCTTCTAAACACGGTGTACAGTAGCGTAAACGCACTCCCGCGATTCAAAGTGAGTGACTCGGTAATGTGAGCAAATTCAAGACGATTTTTGAGAAAGGTTACATATCACATTGAACCACGGAGGTGTTTAAAATCGTTAAAGTACAGAAAACTAATTTTGTGACGTATCTATTGGAAGATTACAGCGGAAAACCAGTCGCTGGAAAATTCTATGAGTATGAGTTGCATCGTGTCGCTAATCCCGACATATATCTAGTTGGAAAGGTGTTGCGTAAAAAAGGAGACAAGATTTACATGAAATAACTCGGATTTGATAATTCGCACAACTTGGATACACAAAGATAATGTGTTATAGAAATAATATTTAATACAAATTGTATAATTTTTTTTTCCTTATGTAAATATATATTAAATATAAACGCATTATATATGTTATACACATTACACATATTACAGATACATACATATACACATATACCATATTTGTACATATGTACATATATACGTACTATACTTAATATATATATTATACGTACTATATGAGGTCTGTTCAAAAAGTATCGCGAATTTTGAATTTCTGCAGGTTACGTATATTCAATTTTCGATTTTTTGTGGCGTTATGTTGGTACTCATGTCTCTCACTTATGCCGACAAGTTCGGCCATTTCGAATGTTCAGTTAATTTTTGACAGCTGCTTTGCTTGCACATGTTTTGGCTCGTCTTCTATATATATGGTGGTACATCTATATATTTGGTGTATACTTCGTGCTATTTCGATTTTATGCATGACTGCCTGCGTCATTTCAATTGCATCATTCAAACACCGCGTATAATTATTGAACGTTATGGATCTCGCTACAACATTGCTCTTGACACCTTTTGCCTTCTTAGTATTTTTTTTGCCATCGACCTGCAAGGCGTACATTTTCGCTCTAAAACAAATTCAGTCATGATCGCTCGATTGTTTTCATCTCTCATTAAACCGGAAACTTTTTTATTTACGAGCGGAATTTCATATGCACTGTCGATCGCGTAATCGCTAGTGTCGAATCGATTAATATCGTAACAGGGTAGACGTCGTTGCACTCGATGTGATAAATTAGACTGTCAGTGTACATAACTTTACAATTTTCATGAAACATCATATACTCGTGATAGAATTCGTACAAACACGTCTTATATGTCCAAGATACACATACTCGTACATACGTATATTCTCGGAAAAAACGCCTCTAATGTGAAAGTTTAGTTTCGCAATCATTGCCTCTATACCGTATCTCCTATCCCAACTCGTTACGAGTCGCACATTAACATGATTACGCATATTCTCCATGGTCTTGCCGAAAACCGCGTTGTTTATTAATTGGAATAAGTTTTTCTCAAACTCATACTTTGCTAAAGTTCTAAAATTTGTATTGAGTTGGATGTACTCGCGAAGCCACGGAGATTGCACGAATTGCAGTACGATGAGTCTTTGTAATGCGGGTACCGTGATGAATACATTGCGATAATGTATGACGTAACGCTTTTTATCATATAATGTTGCAAGGAGCTTTTCCTCTCGCTTGCCAGGTGATTTCTCATGCGTTGGAAAACGGTAGATCGGAGTACGCATCATGGAAATGTTGCGGATATTCCAAATCCACCTCGAGAACGTAATCCGTCGGTGAATCGCGATGATCGTAACGTCGAAATTGTCTACATTGTTGACCCAGCGAAAATCAGCGTATGGTCACATTGTCCAACCGTATATTGTAGGTTGTTAACGTCAAGTACATCAGGTTCGTTTGACGGTTTCGATCGTACGACTGCATGTACTTGTTGGTCTGTGCGTACTTGTTTGAACATTGTCTCAGACCGCCACGTTCGATGAAGAACCATGTCAACGTCGGTAAAAAGTTCGAAATTGACGCGAGTATGCTTCAACATCGTGTCTCACGTAAAACCCGGCAGTGTATAATAATACGCGGGGTCGAGTCCATAACTGGTGATACATCTATCCCGAAAATTCTCAAATATATCGACCAACAACTACATTCACGGAGCACGTAATCGCTTTCGGATACGGTATCACCTATCAACGAGGTATTATAAAATAATTCGCGTGATGGTAACGATGTTAACGAGATGATCAAAATCCACTGAGATTAAAAAATTCTGACCGCGTAATTTCAATTTATCTTTATCGAGATACGACGCTAATTTTTATAAATTGATACTAAAAAATTTAAATAAATTTATAATATAAAACGTATTTTTACACAAGTTTTCTTTTGATCATTTTTGGTCCTATCGACATATTTCGTAAGCGAAATGTATTTTTCTTTAGTTATGGGAAGTAGTTCAGTCCTTTATACGCGGCAGCTATATCCTTAATAATAAAATGTGCATCGTATCCCGATAAATTATGAAAAACTACGGGAGTGCAATATGAATCTTTGTAATTCAAGTTACAATTGAATGCTCGGGGTCTCTGCATCGCCCGGTCAAGTGATCGCGTACCCGCGTGTCATCCGGCACGAACGATTTTTCGCCCACATGGCAGTGCGTGGCGCTGTTAAATTTTTTCCAATCATCTCGCGTAATCTGCCATGAGTACATTGGCCGAAAGTATAGACTCTACACTATGCGCTAAATTTTTAAGTTCCCCGGCGAATCATATGACGCAATCGTTACCGCGACGAAACCATATACATTCACGTGTTGTCGTTCGAGCAATGGACATAGTATGCTAAGTTAAATGTCCGATGTTGCTGATACGATATAGCTGGATGTTTCCATGTCCATCTCCATCTTCTCTAGGATGCATTCTACATCATGCGTGGACCATGAACGGGACGCGTTCCTTCCTGCAGTGGTTGCTGAAGCTTAACCACTTGTCCTGAGCAGCCGGATCGCGCAGTTGTTAAATTTTTCACAGTCTATTGCGTGGCTCTTCAATTCTGTATGAAAATAGTGCAGGCATCTGGAAAATAGCACAAACTTT